ACGTGTGCTGTAAGGATCACCTTTGCCTCTTGAATAGAAGCCTGAATCTATAGAGGCCTCCAAGCTAGCATTTTGTATGTTATTCGGAAAGTCTTTTGGATCAACCGGGTGACCCTCACGACACCCATCTTCTGGAAGAGTGTCCTCTTCATCCTTGGATGTTTTTCCGCTTTTCAAATACTTGTCCAGAGCTCGCAGAACCTTCTTCTGTGCTTTCGTAAACCGGAAGTTCTCTGCGTCACACCGAAGTGCGTATGTAGGACAACACGATTTGCGGTTGTTCGTCTTACGCATCATGATTCCACTCCTACGCAAGCAACGCACAGAAGTAATGCTGAACATACCGACGCCAGCCATTGTCCATCAGCAATTTGTAGTCCTGTGCAGTAATTTCGCCCGCAATGGTGTCTGACAGTGAGGACAAGTGAGACACTTACAATAAGTCGAGTCCGACTTTCCACAGTACAGGCAATGTTGGTTGTGAGCTTCGCCCATCAAACGGAGAGTGGAGAGCATGGCGGGGAAGTCGTCGTTGTTGAGTGTCCGTGATTTCAAGTGGGCGTACTCTCAGCGATTTGGTATTGACCTTAAGACGAGAGTTACAATGTGGTTGGGCAAAACAAAAATTTTTTGCATGCAAAAATTATCTGATAGGTGCACAATGGTTTACTGTTTTGCGAAACCGATAGGTATGTTTTTGTTAGCCTGAAATGGCTATCAGGCGTTCCTTGATTTCAAATGATTGATTATTTTACTTTTATATTACCTCCCTATTGTAGGTGTTATCTTCTCATTGCTTTACTTCGGATCTTTCTTTCGGGTTTTTTTTTATTCTAAGTTGCCTTACCTTGGCCATTAGTGGGCACTTTTACTTTGCAACCGCATTACGCGAGTCGAGGTAGTTAACAAAAAAACATGTAAAGCTTTTAAACTTGGGAACATTATCATAATCATGAATGTTTCATTTACATTTAGCAGTCTTTGATAAGCTGTGAGTGTCTTACTTGCAAACAGCTAATGCGTATTCACATTTTTGGCCGTCAGCTTTCCCAATTAAATGTATAGTAGAAAACATCGTTAACACGCCTTTGATAAAGTGACTGCTACCCCAAGTAGCGCGCGAGTTTGCCAGTTTGATAGTGACCTTGACGCAAGGACCCAATTCTGATTGAATAAAACAACGGTGTTTGTACAATAAACAAAACCGTCAACTATACTTACAACAATATTTTGCTTTGCTGCACGTGTGGCAATAAAATTCACTTTGTCTTAATATGTTGTAAAGCGTTTGTGTTCAGCCTCATTCTCGGTTGCTTGCACTCGTCCTAAAATTGTACTACCCTGTGTAACCATGACGGAAGTCTTATTCAGTGACTTTATGTAGTGCACACTGAGGAAGAAACAAGCTAGAAATAATATACACTAGTCAGTTTTTGGATGTGATGAATAATTACCCTTTTTTGTGCAGTGCGATAATATCGTCATCATCTACGTGAAGTTCATTCGGCAGCCTCTGATTTAGTGTAACTTACTGTTTCGTAATAAGTCATATTAGTTCAATTTTTGGATTGTTATTCTTTTGCCCTTGGTTTTTACACTATAATCAAGAGCACTGCCTACAGGGGGACATCTTGCATTGTGAACTATGAAGGAATGTTTCTAATAATTGAATCCTAATGGAAGTCAGTATCCCATGTCTTTTTAAGTAGCAGCAGTACCTGTTTTGGAGTGCGCGGACTGAGAGAGGTCTACAAACGGATCGTGAGGCCATCCGGTGCAATCCGATCTCAAAATACTGACAAGAGGTAACACAAGTATCCCAAAGTGAGCTCCGCCAGAATGTGGGCCGTAAAAGCATACTCTAGCGGGGTCTTTGATAATCCAATTTACAGTTTGAACCAAGAGGTGTCATAACAGTAACCGTAGGGATAACAGGCTTGCGATAGCTGAGCGATCATGACGACCTCACTTCCAGCTCCCTTTCTTTTGGCTCAACTTGCAATGATGAAGCGGAATTTATTAAGCAGTGGATTTTCCTCCCACTAATAGGGGAACCTGAGTTGGGTTGACATCACCATGCATGAAATGCAAACTCGCCGCTACTATGATAATCATGTTTAGTAAAAGAGGAACTGCACGCTCAGACATTTGGCACACATGTCCGTTCACTTGATCGAAGACGCGAAGCTACCGTCCGCCTTAGTCGTATCCAAAGACGCAACACCAGCTACGGCCTCCCATTTGGTGAGGCAGACGCCATTCTTCATCCATCAGCTTCAGACGGAACCAGTGTGATGTGCTGATCGTGGGTAGTTTGCCAGTAGTCGGTTCGAAAGTAGACCAAGACCACGTGCATCGGACGGTGATGGTACTGCGTGGGATGCGTGTGGAGGTTCGAAATTGTTTATGAACACCTTAATACCTCCTCGTCTAATTTGTCAATTGAACACCTAATCTCATTCGATATATCAGAGAGAAAAAAAAATCTGACACCCGAATTACAGTAAGCACATTAGCCGTAATGCTTGTGTTGTTTACATGAATCGCAATTTTGGTAAAGGACCACTCAGGGACTCCACCACTGTGCCTCCGGATTATGCCAGCAGCCCCCAAGCCCTTCGGTGGGTCAACAATGCGTATTCTGCCCAAACATTATGCCCTCCTTCGTCCTCAGGGAAGTCTTGCGGCGCTGAATTAGCTCAAAGACAAATAAGCATTTTCATGAACTGAAACTCAAAACACCCAAATCACTCATGTAGGTCACCGGAAAAAAAATACGCAATTTATGAAGGCCGTGGTTTCACGCTTGCTTATCTGATCCTGCAAAAGTACAGCAAAAAAAGGTAATGAAAATAAAAGAACATCCAAAGTAGGAACAACAACACTAAAAACGTAAAGTGGGGTAGGAAAGGGGATCATCACAGTCAGTTGGGTAATCACATCGCCCAACTTGTCAGCATGTGTGTCTACCTGAATACCCTAGAGCTCTTCAACTATCCAAGTCGCCTTTTTTGTCCCCTTTTCCATGGGAATGTCGAGAGGTTGTGAATTTGACAGATTGCCACTAGCATTCTCTTCTTTCTCGCCTACAACTGCATCAGTATGACCGTCGGAATGCAGGGAATTCAGCACATCTCCAGCAGCCTCTTCCACATTCTTCGCAGCCACCCCTTCTGGTTGGACGGGAACTGATGGTCTCGAAGGTGAATTCGACAAATCCACAACTGACCACTCTTGCTCTCCTTTATTCTCGTGCTTCCCCTCTTCAAGATGAGTGGTACATGGTGCTACACTCCATAAATCTTCAGTGAATTCAAGATTGACATGCCGTGGTGAATCCTGTAGACTCACCTCCATGTCAAGGACTTTTGTTGAGGGCTGCGTAGATGGGGGTGGTGCTTTTAAAAAGGCTATAGCATCGCGCCAGGCCTCAGCTACGGCATTCCAGTAGGCTACGTAGGCACCAGTCAGCGCGGTCAAACTCTCCGTCGTCTCGACCGCCCGCGTCACTTGCCAGCGACGCCATTCAGCCTCTACCTGCGTGTTGCTGAACGCCAACTCTCGTGCCACTTCTGCCGCCTCAGTCCGTAGCTGTACAGGGTGAAAAGAAGCAACACGATTCTGCCACTATTATAACAGCAAATAATTACAACTCTTTATGCAGGAGTCAAGTAGACCTATTATTTTTCCAACTCGGGATTGTTTAAAGCGAGAGCAACACACATCACTAAAAAGATGGCCTTGAAGTACTGAGAACATCACTTGTGGATGGTTCAAAACAAACGCAGCATCGTAAACGAGTGCTGAGATGGCGAAAACTTCGCTTTCTTCGGATTTCGCACAGCTCAGCTGAGGTCTTTCGATTACCGTCTTGAGTTGATTAGCTCCAACAGTGAGTGGCAATTCCGTTTCTAGGGCGTCCCCCACAAAAAGCACTTTCGCAAGGGTAGGAGAGGAATAACGTGTAGTGCAATAGGTAGACGAAAGGAACTGAGGTAAGCAAATGACGTGATGAATTGGTGGCAGTATAGAAGCACGGATCAATAGGAGGATGGAATAAAGTTACCTCGGCAAGTGGTCGATTCTTCTTTTTACTGGAGCTGCTCCACGACATTGATGTGAAACGAGAGAGCCAGGGTTGCGAGACTCCCGACTTATCCACCGTTGCCACTGTCGTCGTTACTTGCTCCGTCCCGCCAATGGGCTCGCTCCTCCGACGCTCCTCAATCTCACGCTCGAGGTTAAAGTACGTGTCCTGAAAGAGGCCAGGCAAGGGCGCATTCAATCAACAGCTGGAAGCACAAAGTGGCACAGCCGTTCCGACAGGCACATTAGGAGCAATTAACACACTTTTAATGCCACCATTCCTACTGGTTTAGTAGGCTTCATATAGAAAATAAGTAAGAGTCATTTGCCAACTAAACCATCGATAGACGTGACAGGGTACCGAAAAGACCCACTGCCAGGCACGAGTGGTATTGTGCGTAGCAAGTCTTTTCGGTCCAGTGATCTGGCTTCCGAGGGCAGCATGAGACTCGGACCACGCTGCATCTGTGCTTCTACCTTTCCGTCCCCTCCGTGTGTGGATGGTAAGGCTAATTCCGGACTCGTATGCGAGAGGGCAAACGTGGCAAATAAGAGGTTCAAGAGCAGTTTACCTTGGAGACGGGATTGATTATAAGGGTAATGATGCGCCTCTAGTGAGGTCATGTGGATACAGAGCCTTGTCCACTGTGTGTAAGGCAATACAATGCATAACTCGTGGGACTTACTTTCTTGTTGTTTTGCCACTCGAATAAACTTTTCCCACCCCTCAATGAGGCGATTTATTCCACAACGTAAACTACAGTTGGAGCTTGACTAACAGGTAAGGATAGCAGTGTTTTTAATTGGGGAAGTGCTGACCTTTTGCCACTGTATTTTAGGTGCTCCAAACTTCTATAACTCCATTTTCCAAGCATGAAACATCATGAACATGGGAAAAAAAAGGCGCGAGCAATGGGAAGTAAATCGAATACGACCTCGTGAGCCTTCAAAGAAGGTTGAAGACTTTGATTTTATATGCTACTCTGTTTTGGATAGCAGGTAATGTAGTCGTTATCACGGATAGCATTAATAAGCAACGATTGCTAACAAGAGCTAAATACAGGGATGATAATAGAGGTGGTGAGGATAAGGACCAATATGAGGCCACCTATGTACAAATGTCAAGCCGTCTGATCAAAATTATTGGAGTCAACAAGCGACAACTCCGTCGATTACAGCTTTCCCTCTAGGTAAGCCTTAATCAAAAGTGCCAGTTCGGACGAATGAGGAAGCCGCGAAAGCAGTCAATGCATGAGACAGAAAGGCGCCAGCGGTGGAAGCATTTACAAGTACAAATTGAACAGTGGTAGACCATAATGGTGGCGTAGAGCTCTGCAGCATTCCCCTGCTTTTGCGCAGATCTATAATAACCTGTCACTTACGGACTCACAAGCGTTACGATTTCCTCAAATGTAACTTGAGCACGTTGGCAGACCCACATAAAGAATAACAATCCCAGTTTCACTGACCGCCTATGACGACAAAAAGCCATGCTGGAAAGGCACCCGCCGTAGATAGTTGAATTTGCGAGAATTTACAACAAAAAGCTTACTGGAGTTGTATCGACTGCGGGTGATTATCCTAATCAAGACATTGTACGATAGGCATTAACGGAAGATTGCATCTGCGACATAAAAAAGCGATAAAAAAATAACAGATGTAGTCTACAAACTCCTCAATACAAGTTGTCACTTGCCTGAATGCTATGTCGATTCTTAAGCACCCGCTTGACAGCCGCTCCAAAGGCTGCGGAGTCGTGCCAGGAGTTGGCGGGACCGAGGGCAAGACGTGAGGCAAGACTTTGCATGGCCTGTGCCGTCCGCCTCACCGCCTGCGCCGCTGCGACCCCCGTCGCACCCACTGCACCCGCCACCACTGCTTCGTCCAGCGTCTTGGCCAACTCCGCGTGATCGTAGGACAGGGTGGAGAGCTGGTTAGTCATGCGGCTGACAAGGGTGGACAAGCGCTGACATAAAGCTGTGTACTCATCCACCTGCGGAAAACACAAAATAGTCGTACCCGACTTTAGCTCTTCCCAGTAAAGCAGACATTGGGAGAAACAAGTGTAAGAGAATTAAAGAGGGAGGGAGGAGCGATATCGGAAATGACTTCAATTCAAACAGACTCCGTGTGATGAATAGGTTAACACTAAACAAGTAGAGAGAGAAGGCTACAACCATTTTCAATTCTAACTGTTTGCTTTCCAGACGTTTTAATTCCAGGGTAATGCTAATGCCTCCCTTAAATTATAACACACCAACCCTACTCAAAATTGAGGTAAATAAGGACGTAATTTACGCCTCAAAGTAGTCAAGTCAATAAAAATTGCTTTTCGCAACTAGGCGGTTCAACTAAACGATTCCCGATGATATAAAGACAAGTGTCTGAAAGCAGCTGCTTCAAAGAGGTTTTCTATCGCCACAAAAATGAAGTCAATGTGGGCTTCAAAGATTTAACAATAACATTGATCAAGAAAGGCGGTGGTATAAGAGTGGAGCTAAAATAAAGCAGAAATCTCAAAGAAAAGTGTAAATTAAACCTAAAATATGATCACCTTAGCACAAGTGCAATCCTATCAGCGAAAATTCTTTCAGCTGATTTAAAAGGACAAAAATGAAACGGCAAACATTTTCTCTAACAGACTCGAAGTGATGTGACTCAAGAACTACAAATAAAGCAGAACAAGTTGATGGGAGTCACGAGTCAGCACCAACCTACCTCATTCTGATAGCGGAAGAAAACCTCAGAGACACACTGCAGCTCGCAGGGGGTCACCACTTCCCTACCCGATGCCGTGACGACAGGTATAGAAGAGGGCACATTGGAGGGAGGCCTTAGGCCCTCCCTTGCCGATATCGTGATCGCTGTTGCTCCACGGCCTCCCTCCTCGAACTGGCCAGCGTTGCTAACGCTCCTCGTTTGACTTTGGGGCGAAAGGCCAATGAGGGAGAAAAGAGAGTTTTCAATTGGATTCTTCTGCATGTATTCTTGAAAGGCCTGTAAATGGACAATCAACGGATTTTGCCACAAACGACTAGGCGATCAAAATTTGCACCATTGACACATCGAACACACAGCAGTTGTGTAGAATACGCAGATCTAACTGAAAGCGAGAGCCTATTTACCGAGAAGTGGCATCACAACTGCAAACAGCACAACTTAGGCCCGTGAAAAACTAGCCTGGCGAAAACAGTCAAATCCATGTACAGTTTAAACGATATAAAAACAAGCTACAATTAAAATTACTCTGTCCCTTAGTTTCCTAGCAAAAGGCTCAGTGATAAATAACACTAAAAACGCTCCATTCTTTACTAGTAATGCAGAGACAATCCCAGTTTCCACTTCTACTAGGTGGCATTTGTCAGTATTTAGGCGCCTAGAATTCCAGAAAATCCAAAGCCTAAGACTTTCTTCTCGAGAGCTTAAGCGACCTTTCTTCTGCTCCGCGAAATAAAAGAACTATTTTCCACTGCACCGGTAGTATCGGCAGATCAGCACGTTCGTCAACAGCGACACACATGTATGCTCCTCGACGTCAGTGATACGTGATGTTTTTTGATGAGCACACTACAGTAACTGGTTACGCTAGTTGGATCGAAAAGGGACAAGTTGATGCAAGATGTAGGGTGTTTCTGTTACTACGACATTGCTGCGGAGGTTGGCTATTTCCTAACACTGGTAGCAAACGCGTTAACATTAGCAGATGGTGAAGATAACAAGACAGTCAGCTTACAGTACGAGGGAGAGTCAGAAAGGCCACAAAATCATTGTTGCCGGAGAGGACGGGATGAGCAGTGGACCTGCGCAGAAAGGTCTGTAAGCCGCTGCATCGACGATCCACGAAACCAGAGGCGTAGCGGTTGAACTGGGTGAGCACCTTCTTTCCAGGCAGTGGCTGCAGTGGAGGCAAGACGTACACATTAGCTCCCTGCTACAAGTCCTATCTACGTACATTTCAAGACGCTATCGTTCTACTAAAATAAGCACGTGAAAGGATACTCACGGGTACGAATAGGACTGCGTAAATTTGCCGGAGGCGGCTGTGTAACCAATCGAACTCCCTGTAACGTCGGTCCACAACGCAGACCTCGGACGGGTAGTCCTTGCGGTTCGCCTGTAGTTTAAAAGGAAATCACCCAATCGACTGTAGTAACGCATGACTATTGCACCCATCAATGCTTACCACTGTTTCGACCTCGTAGACAATGTACGTCTCGTAATTTGTGACCAGCTTACGTACTCCTGTGATACGAGCACACACCTCGCCAGCAGCAGGCAGGGATGGTGGTGCACCATCCACACTCGACCCGACAAAAACTTTCTCTGCATTAAAAACAAGCCGTCCACCAACTTCACATTCTTCCAACATGGTGCCTGAGGCAGAAGAGGAAGAAGAAAGTGAAGAGTAGGAGGGAAGACAATTCTATGCCAAGAGTTTCATAATGATGTGAACGCCGCTACTCCTAAAAGCGACCAGTTCACGAAAATGACACAAAGCACGAGAGCAATGCTATGAGGAGACCACTAACCCAGCCAGCGCGTCTGGAATAAATCACAATGACTGCCAACCACAAAAACTAGGGTGCATATTCAAATTGAAAACGAAATACATGTGGATTGAGAAATATAGACAGTGCGACACGTTATAGGAAAGCTAAAACAAGGGACGGGAATGGACCACTTTTACCAGTGGAGGGAAATACGACTAGAGGAAAACTAAACAGTTTATTCCTATATACTTCCAATCCCTACAAAATATGGTTGTATTGACGAAGCAGTTGGCATTATGTTGAATTAAACCAGATCCCCCCACGTGCATAGCCAAAATTAGCGTAGTATGCTATATGTTTTATGGGTAAATCGAGCGATTAGAACCCAACAGCTTTGGGAGGAAACATTTTAGAAAGCAAACACGTATACATTTTGCAAGCGTATAACTACGTAAGGCCAGAAATCGATTTGGCAAACAGATTGCATAATCAGATGAGCCTTAGAAGAGACAGGTAAAAAAGCCTAGCAATGACTATGCCGAAAGCCACACACAAACATGCTGCCAAGAGTATATGAACAAACGAAGCTCGTGATAACAATACAACATTATTACGGAACTAACGAATTACCAGAAAACGTTAGCCAGCACTACGCGTTCAAAGGCGAGAGGCACAGGAAAAGAGAAAAAGGCTGCCCAATAGCCTGCTAAACAAAAGGTCGACCCTAAAAGGGAGTGTGGTTTTCGATTTGTCTAGTTTTGCAATATCGATAGTTTACAAGAGAAAAGGTAAAAAAGGTAGTAGAGAACAGAGCTAAATTAGTATAATTTCAAGGACGATAAGTGCTTCAATTAAAAAATTAGCTTACATTTAATGCCTTTCATTGCTTTCAATTATCATCTCCGAAAAATGCATGACTTTTTAAAAAAAACCGGGCAGTTTTTATGAACAATATCTTGAAAATGGTTAAGGGCTATTTGTAAGGTTCCTAAATCGGTTTTATAGCCAGTGCTTCGTTTTTTGTAAATGGTGCGGCACAATGACTTGTGTAACAGTTCATATATGTAAGCTGACGTCCTTTTTGCATAAATAGCACGACACGAGGAAAACTAGTGGTGCTCTAGGGGGTTGCAAGCAACTATCTTTTATTCAATAATTGCAACCTGTAGATTTGTAAAATTGTTAATACATAACAAGGCCGCGGGCACTTTTATGAAACCAACACCATTACGTGTGGTTCCCGCTGCGATAAGTTTGTCCTCTTTCGTTTTTGATTGTCTCACTAACTTCATCACAAACCTAATCTCAATAGTAACTATCAGAGCATTGATTAGGAAGTAAAAGCTTTTTAGACCCCCTATATATCTATTAATTTAGTTGCATTCTTGAGCACGTTGCTTAGCTCAGGAGATAAATGCACTGTTGCAACTTCCCATTCACTTTAACCTTATAGACTTCTTTATATCCCTGCCAGCAAAAAAAAATGAAACGTTCCCTGTCAGTCTCCCGAAAAACCAAGTTGTTGGAGCCCAGACCATATCAAGTAGAAATGGCCAACATGGCCCGCAATGAAAGCATCATCGTTAAACTGAGTACTGGTCTTGGGAAATCATTCATCGCCGCAATGGTCATAAAAGATCACCTTCCGGAAACCTATCGCCCCGTCACAGAAGGTGGCAAACGTATTATCTTTGTTGCAAAGACCGGTAGGTTCATCACAACCGTCCTTTACACGCATCCACCTTTTTTCCAAACGAGCTTTCTCATCGTCTTGCCTCCTATCTAGTCCACCTTGTTTATCAGATGGCTGAATTTTTGCGGTCCCAACTCCCCGTACCCCCCAACGAAATCGGCATTTTCCACGGCCAGGTCGCGCCCAGTGTCTGGATTGACAGTTGGACAAAGGCGAGTTTCTGGCCTCTCCTTCCCCCTTTCCTTCGCATTTTCGATGAGAATGAGAGCTTTGATGGATTTCAGGGCATTTGGCAAGCACAGCTGGAAAAGCATAAGGTATTGGTGGCCACCGCCGGTGTCCTCCGTGACGTTTTAAATCATCGCAAGCTCAGTCTGCGTGATGTTTGTCTCATCATCTTTGACGAGTGCCATCACGCTGACCCAAACTCCAAATCGGACTACACCGACATATGCCAACACCTTCATGCCTTCCCACCTGGCAGATGGCTTCCAGATTATTCTCGTGGACCTAAGGTACTCCCTTTAACGACTATCACACGTCTTTCGTCAACGGCTTTTTGTGTGTTTATTTGCCATCCACTCAAATGAGACAGTTTGTCCGTGTCTCCTGATGTCCTGCCATGTAGATATGCGCAAGATGTTTCCATTGCTTGAGGTTGTGACAAGCCTCTGGGAAGCTCTTTGCAACTGACCGTGTTTTCCCCTTGCTGTAGGTGTTGGGTTTGTCAGCCTCTCTGGTGAACAACCTAAAGCGTGGTGAAAGCATGGAAACGAAGGTGAGGCTTTTGGAGCAGCTCATGCGGGCTCGAGTCGTCACTTCCACCGACAGTTCGATTAACGCCGTAATGGGTCAACGCCACTTGGAGATTAAACACGGATGCGGTGACACCAGACTTGCGCTCAATGATCCTTACTACAACTTTTCGCAGGTCCTCCTTCGTGGTATAGAGAAAGTCAAGCAGTGAGTGACTTTTTATCCCTTCTCTGGCACTCTGCCTAACTGCATATTTTATCCATAAAAGGCTGCCTTCTGGCGTGGTGGGGGAGGATTGCATAGACCTGGAGTCCCTGCTCGATGAGAACAGGAAGATTAAAAAGGAGGCATTCCTCTCCGTCATGGAATTGCACGAGTTCAATTCGGCGAAGATAAAGCGCATCCTTCTCCAGTGCGTTCGTGTGATGGAGGAATTTGGGGTCTACTGCGCTGCTCACGTAGATTTTGCTTGCGTTGATTATTCACCCTACTTAGCACTTGGTTCACTAAGTCCTTTTCTCCTCGCATTAGGCTTGTGAGCAGTTTGAGAAGGTGCTCAAAGGCCTTCTGCTTCTGAGCTCCCCCAAAGTCATCACTAATCCCCAGTGTGTCAACATCATTCAGATGTGTTTGGCCTCGATGGCAGAGGCACTTGAAACATATCGACAGATTCGTCAGACGCTCATTGCAAAACTCACTCAGCCTCTGGCCTCCAATCCCACAGATCCTGCCTGGGGTGAGTGGATCGTGGCGCACTTTCCCATGAGCTCCAAGATGGTTTCACTGCTCCGGTTGTTACTGCATTACCACGTAAGTTTCATCCTTCTCTTGTTTTGTATTGTGGCGTTACCTGTGGTCTTCCCTTCTAGAAAGTAGTCGGGAAAAATAATGAGACACTCTCTGCGCTGCTGTTGGTGAAGGAGAGAATCGCCGCGGCCTCAGTGGCGCATCTAATCACGGAGGTGTCGGCAATGGCGCCTCTGTATACCGGTTTGAAGGCATCGCACTGTGTCAGTGCTAATCCAACCAACCCTGTAGTGAGTTGCATCCCTCAGCACTGGTTCCTATTTTCCTACACAAATGAATGGTGTTGTTGCTGATTTGTAGGCGTCACTTTCGACTAATGAGCAGTTGAATGTGTTGGATGGGTTCCGAACGAACGCCTTCAACATTTTAGTCGCGACCAACGTGGTGGAGGAAGGGCTTGATGTTCGTTCGTGCAATGTTGTCATTAAGGCTGATGAACTGACGAACTTTCGTTCATTCATTCAATCCCAAGTGAGTGCTCCTTTGTTGTTTTGTTTGCTGATGTGCTTGATTCCTGGTCCCACTTCGTTGGTCTCCATTGCGTTGCGGTTGGTTTCCAAACTCGGACGTAGTTATGCCATCCTCTTGTTGTAAATCTCAACACGCTCAGTCATTGAAGGGGGCTGTCTTGCACGTTGTCTTGCCAGGGCATCTCGGCCAGTGAAACGGGGGTTGTCGCTGTTCTCGCTACGTGGGCTCACCAGCGCTGTCACCAATGTGACACACGAGCATTGCTGTGACAATGCCTTATGGAACACAAGTTTGGAGGCGGCCTTACAGTTTGCTTTAGTCTGGTTTCGCGCCATTAATTGTCGATGTGCAAAACTCCGAATTGAGATGGTTACCAAACAAGGGCGTAGTTGTGGGAGATTGCCTTCCTTCGGCAATCTCGCGGATTCTATTGTTCAGTGATGATTTCTGCAGAAGGAATGGGGGAGTAGTAACGCGGGTGCTACAAGCAGAGTCTCATTGTATCAAAGTGGTAGCCAAGTCACTGCAAACGCGTTTGTTTTTTTTTTTGCAGGGAAGAGCACGTGCAAAAACGTCCTACTTTGTTCTTTTGACGGATGACGTTAGCAAATGTCGGACAAATGTGGAGAGTTTCTTTCGAATGTCGAAGGTAATTGCCTCTGTGTTTTGGTGGCTTGTCTGCTCTTTCGACCCATTTCTAACGCTGTCAAACCTTTGAAGGTGATTGATGATTTCCTGGAGTGTCGATGCATCGACAGTATGCCAGACGAGGAGGAGGAAGCTGAGGAGGAAGTAGGTTCGGCGATTACCGACATCGCCCGGCAATCAAACCTTGCCTACATGCCCTATGGGACTGACGGACCACGAATCACCATCACCGGTGCCTCTTCCGTGCTCATGAGGTACTTTTGCCACCTCGTATCAATTCGCAGCAGATTCCTGCCCACTTTGCATAAAATGTACTTGTGCTGTGTGTCCTCCCCTCACGCAGATACACCTCCCTGCTGAAAACGGACACCTCCTATCCCCTGAAGATCTTGTATTCAGTGCATAAGGAGTTTGGAGGTTATCGCGTTCAAATGCTTATGCCACCGCCGTCCCCGTTGCAGGACATTATTAAGGTTGGTCTCTGTTTGAGAACATCCTTCGCCTTCTTGGCACCTGCTTGATGGAGGCAGTCGCCTAGGGAGCCTTAAATAGACGGGTAACCAGGAGCAGTTTACTTCATTTTCAGGGTCCACTTGCATCGACCAGAAAATTGGCCATGCAGTTGGCAAGGCTTGAGGCCTGCAAACTGCTCCACAATGCAGGTGAGTTCAAACCTCCCTCACACTGCGCCTCCTCACCCACTCTACGTTACACATTGCGTGCTGGGCAAAGGCTCTGTTGAAGCTGCAGTAGTGTGAGGAGGCTGATTTACCACCACCTGAGAGAGGTGATAGGCATCTTTTGTCGTGTTTGATGGATGAGAACATTTCAAGCCCAGTTTCTGCCTGTAGAGGTAGTGACGCTTGCGTGGTAAGTGTTTGTCCTGCTGCAAGGAAGTCGGCAGCTACTTAGACCGGCTTTCCCCCTCAACATCTGATCCAATTGCATGGAATGCTAGTAATTTGTGGATTTGGGTCTTCAAGCGAGTTAGAAACTGACGGTGTCTTCACTTCCGAGGCTGCACCAAAGAATGTTGGCAAGGTTTGATGCATTCACTCGTTTGTTTGATTCATTCAGTTTATTTAAAACCGTTGTTTCAATCAGTGCATTCATCAGGCGACTTGGCCGATTTAATCTGCACACAATTTGGCACATGCTCTTGTCGATTCCACTCAACTTTTATTGCCACTTGGCCCAACACTGCTGTGTGCATTGTCACCCGCGGCGTTCCGTAGCGCCATGCCAAATGCCAACGAGGCAGGTGATTGGTAGGGTTTGCACCAATGAGCACCTCGGATGCGTGCTCTTGAGTAAAATCGGCCAATCAGATTGTTGTTGTTGCTATTGGTTTCGTTATCGATTTACTGCACACCGATATCATTCAAACTCCAATGAGCTGCTACTTATTGGTTAGTTTATCCGCTCTCTTTTATTTTTTTCTTTCTCCCCCCAATTTCTTCACCCGACAGGCGGGTTGCAACTGCAGCAGCAGTGGCAACTCGTTTACAACAAGTTTCAGTGTCTTTCCCCTCCCATCGTACATCTTGTTAATAAGCTCATAAAGTGCGGTCTGTGAAGGAAAATTAGTCCTTTTTTACGCCCAGGAAAGATTCTGAGACGCTGTTTGTGGGTGCTGTCTTTGGTTAACTTTCGTTTTGTTCCTTGGGTGATTTATGAACTTCATTACTTGTTATCGTACATCCAACTGCCTCTTGCCATTGCTACAAGTGAAATTTTCTTGCATTCTGCACCTGTGCACACGGTTGGCTCTAGCCAAGAGTCAACAATGCTTCTGCACTATTCGAAGACGCTCTTGTGTCGTTTTACGTCATCCTGCATTTAGTTGCTTCTCCAGTGTGAATTTCTTAATTGGTGAGTGTGATATGTATCGTAGTTGCTAGAGATGTCGACCTCAACGCTTAGTTTGTCTCACTCTTGAAATTCGACACTGATTTTGGGCTCCAGTCTATAAAACTTTGTACTGTTTCAAAAATGTGAGGTTGCTATTTTTATTATTTTTTCCAATAAAGAATTGTAACTTCTTACTGCTGTGACAGAGGGAAAGCCTGCCCAAGACAGCTTTATTGATATTGAGAATGTTCCCTCGCCTGGCAGTCATTGTAGGCGTCCAAGACAACTGATCGACACGTTTCTTTTCGACTTTTCAATTTCAATTGCCTTTCGTTATAATGCAACCGTTTCATGTAAATTCTCTTTTTGGCATTATTAAGCCACCCAAATATGCCGTTAAATGCTGCCGTTTGTACTTTGCTTTCTTTTGTTGCTTGTTTAGCCGTTTTTACTACTTCAACTCTACCTCTTTCCCTCTGAAAGTTGTCATTCCTTTTCTTTGCTGTTGCTTCAAAGATCTTCTGGGTGCTGACCTACTACCAATCAACTTTCGTCAGCTAGTAGAGCTATCCAAGCATACAACTTCATCCACACGTACGGAACAAGAACAGATTGAAGGCATTATCAGCAGAATGAGTAATTTGGATCTGGGAAACCCTTCAAAAGACGGCGAGACTAAACCACCAAGTATCATGTCACAGGCACATCTCCTAATGATGCCCATGGAGGAAGATATAAACACCGGTAGTGCTCCCTCAAACGACCACCTCGAT